AAGAATACGAATCGCCTTTTGATGCGCTTTTGTTTCACAGTACCAGGCGAGACTTGCAGATGGAGTTGCTGACGTGTGCAACTGAGAGATTGACACGACAATGTAGAATAGCCATAGTGATGACAAGAGTATTACCGCAACTGGTATGATGTTAGCAAAACGTTAACTTCATTTTTGTTATTACAATTATAGTTTATGGAAACCACGCAGTGTTTCGGACGAGAATAAATGTCAACAATGTCATCCAAAGGAACAATTTTAGTAATGAAACATTTGCTGTGAATGCCATCTCGTGACTAAAAATTAAACCAGACTCAGCGCCAAATCATACGAGAACACTGACGTTCCAACACTTACTTCAACCACACATTAAACTGAATCCCAACTTCTATTTTACACAAAAGTTCTGAATAATCACGTGATTCAACACCTACCGAATCGTCAGGGCATCTCGTGGTTGTCTAGCTTTCAGGCGTCAGGATATTATAAAGACGTATTAATAGGTACTCGTTTAATAAAGTACGTCTGTAACAAGGTCAGAATTCAAGACTTCTTAAGTTTTCATATCCAAAATTCGTAAAAAAAAATTCTGTCAGCTACAGAGTGAGATTGAATCGACGTACGCTGTGTCTTAACCTCTTAGTAAGTCTCTGGTGTCTAAACACTGTATCTGCGTACAATCTGGACGACGATTTCAGAAGATTAGGCAGTACGGTAATTTAGTTCGTAAGTTATAAACATGGAGGATTTTGAGGGCAGGAGAGTCATTTCACCTCGCTTAGGGGCAAGAGACCGTTAGGTGCAAATTATTGTTCCCAATTTTTTCAACAAACTACATACTTTATAATGAAGTCAAGTCATCAGTAGTAAATTAGAAAGCTCAAAATACAAAACGTCCTTCTCCATGGTAAATGGAGCAGCTTGACAGCACAGTAAAAAATTGTATAAATTCCAATTGGTCATTAATACTGGATATTTCACATTTGAGCTTCAAATGCCAAATAGGATTTTAGAGTTCTTTTATCAAACGCCTTTATAGAATTCTTGAACCCTTCGTCCTAATTTGAAATGACGACGTCTATTTCAAGAATAAACACCACAGAGGAGTTAATAAGCAAAGATCAATAACCAACTGTAAAAGTAAATAAAACAATTTTATAACAATTGAATAATTATTAACAAACGACATAATAATATGCATAAGAATTTAAAAGCTAGGTGGTCTAGCGGTTAGAACGCTGGCCTTGTAATCCTGGGGGTCTCGGGTTCGATTCCCGGCGGTGCCCGAATTTATAACTTGTGTTGGGCAAGGCCGTGGTCTAGGCAACACGGAGTTTTCCTCCGTGGCATCCCAACAATTACTCCATGCACACACAGAAGAAGGCAATGGCAAAACACTTCTGGATCATCTGCCAAGAACGTATATGAACAGGTCCCAGTCCGAGAAAAGGATGGAAGGATCCTGTTCATATGGACCTGTCGTCAGACAGAACACTAAATAAATAATAAGATGAGGTGGTCTAGCGGTTAGAACGCTGGCTTTGTAATCCTGGGGTCTCGGGTTCGATTCCCGGCGGTGCCCGAATTTATAACTTGTGTTCCTCTCAACCTGTTATTTCACTGATTAATTCCCTTCCTGCAATCGGTTGACAGACGCCACGAAATACGGGTATCTGTTCTCCGCAAAGTGACCACCAACACCAGGCTTTGACGTCTTTAACCTCGCAGCTAAACGAAACGTCGTTTAACATACAACTGACACACATCATCGCCACAGACGAATCATTATTACTCTGGCAGACAAATACAACACCCCTGCAGTATCTCCCCTCCCAATCAGTTGATTTCTTTTTAATCAACGTTTAATTACAAAGTTCATACAACAGATGTATTACACCTCTCGATCCTAATGCCCTATTATTTATAGCCTTCGTACAATGAGGGTGGAAATTTCTCGTGTCTTATCTCAACAAAATATCAAAACATATTTTTTATGATAAATTCGTTTTGGGCTGCTTGGTCGGTTGTTGTAGCCCGGAGCGGTGTTGGAATTGGGGGTCTATACTTTTTAATAATAAGTTTATAGTTTAATTGTTAGCCGCCATTGTTATAAACAGAGCGAGATCAAATTGTGAGATAAAGGCGAGGGAGGAGGTACGCTCAACAGACCAGACACTTCGCGTTACGCTCCTATGGGTCACGTGATAGCAGAGGATATTAGTCTTGCAGAATTCATTGTTTGTTTGTACGGGTATTCGCCTGTAGGAGACAAAAGCGGATCGCATGATTATGGTAGAAAATATGAAAACAATAAACAGGATTTTTATATTTAGAAACAGCCAGGGGGATTTAAAAAAAAAATTCTGATATATTTCATTTTGAGGAACATTTCCTATGGTTCTTCCGCCATTTTTGTGTATTTTGGGACGATGAATTTGCAGAGCTCCTAAATTTAAGAAATTATAGTGAAAAGTATTAGGAAAGTCGCACGCATTTATCCGTGACCAGTGAATTATTACGAAATAATTTGCGTCATAACCGGTAAGTTTCAGACAAAATGTTAAGTCCCCATATTTCATACGTGTCTTATATGAACAACTTCATAAAAGGTTAGAAAACGATACAGAATCGGTTAAATATTTGGTACGCGTTCCCAAAGTATATTTTGGTAGCAACCGGTTTGAATCTCGACCGGGGAATCTAGATCAATGACGTAGGCCATTTCTAATTTAACCTCTATCACCTTTAGTTGAATGTAACTTATCTTACTTTCATCTCGGATTGTCAGGATGCAATGAGAGTTCAACTGGTTTACAACACGTTCTAATTTCGAAATTTTGTAAACACGATGATAAATCCTCCACTAAAATGTCTTTAACACCTGAAAAATTATCAATAAAACAAACACCATGGAATTAATTGGTTATTTTGCTTAGTTTGGATTGATTTGCTTTGTCTGTTTACTTGGTTGTGTTGGTAAAACTGATTGCGATAAAAACTTTTGACGTCTTTTTTACGGTTAAATAATAATTCACGTAGCTTAACGTAAGCTTTTTTTCCACAGCCCAAATCACACGGACCTGAAAACTAATTAAGCTCGGAACTCTTGAGTAACTACAAACAATTAACAGTAAAAAACAAAATACATTCTCCGCTCTGAAGAGGGAAATTCGCTGTCTTCTCCTTCTCTCCTCTTGCCAACACAAGTTGAACGTAAAACAAAAATTTACCTACGATTCAAGCCTTATGTTATTAAGTTCTGTACTTAATGAGATATTTAAAATCTTGTTCGTGGCTTTAGTTTCGGGATCATAGAACTTACACCTGGATACTTTATTTTTACAAAGTGCACTCAATACGTTCAAAATTTGTTGTAAAAATAAACCGTACATGCTGTATTATATTTTTAAGTTTGTAGAACGAATCTGAATACTTCATATTTTGACAAAGGCTGGCTAGAATGTGTTAAACCGCTCCTTGCATTTAAATTTAGAACGAATAAAGTAAGATTTAGTCTAAGATCCTTGGCAGAGAGAGATAATTCTCACATCTAAAAGCAGATTGGATGATAATAAAATTTATCTTAATGAAATATGATGTAAAGGCGTGGACTGGGTTTAACTGAATGAGGATAGTCTTAGAAATGTGGGCACCTTTTCTTTTTAAAGTCACGTATCCAGTGTGAGTACCGGACATCACAGACTTCCTGTTTTCGGGATTGAACCCCACTGCTGTGTTCTAACAGCAATTACAATCCTTCCCATCGCGCCTCGTTTCCTGAAGGCGACGAGTGGCGGAAGGCAAAGTCCCTCTTTCCGAATCGAACCAGCCCATCTCTTGCCATGACGACCTTAACAAAGTCTAACCTAACAGCAACCAAACCGTTGCAGTGCTTTTTTATGTGCGAGTTAACGCAAAATTGTTTCACTCTGTCTTAACCATCTGACGCCCGTGTAATTTGTAAGATATGAGGTTTACACGGCGGTGAAGAAATCGAGGTCGGTCCTCCGGGTTGTGACAATGAGACGACGTGCAGGCAAATACTGACGTTTCGGAGGAACGTCTATTCCCCCCCCCCCCCCAATTTTACCTAAAAACTCATCACACAGCGCGACAACCCAGGAGATCAACATCGACGTATTTTTTATAAATTTCATCTCTACATCATCATTTTCAATTAATTTTACTCAGTCAGTCTCATAATCACAGCGGACAGAAAAAGGATTTGATATTCTCCTACTGATATCGACTGCCGTCTAATCATTTCAGCACATGACGAACTAAAGCCACCAGCGACAATTTATACGTAACGAACAAACACAAATCTTAATTTAATATCGCGTTATGCTGAGTCCGACAGAGACTCCAAAATATGGGCGAGGCAAATTATCTTCAGCGTTTAATAAATATATTAACTCAATTTAACCCTTTTAAATCCAGTGGTAACTATATGTACCACCTGCTTTAACAATCTATATCTGTACTTTTATCGCAGAGTGTACGTATGGATTTGTATGATTCTGATAGGAAACATTGATCTAAAAATCCCTCTGGAATTGAAATGTTCATCGCCGTATAAAAATCCCAATACTGGTCCTGTCCTGAGCCAGCTGAATCACTCCTTGTTTTGTTAAGGTCTGAGATTAATAAACTTACAACAAAACTTAAGCCTCCAAAACATTCTCCTTGGGTTTCGCAACTAAAACTTTGTATGAAGTTGTCATTAATTCTCTGGCATCCGTAAATAATGTGATCTTCGTTTACTGTCTATCGGTATCCGAGGGTTCGCTGTTCTGTTCTTACACCAGCCGGTTGCATCTCTTACGTCATACAATTCGTCCGTTCTAATACGCCACTTTTACATTCAGCTGTAACGCAAGCGGCAAGTGTTGTGGATAACAAAACAACAGCGCGCCGAGCAATTTGTACCCGGAACAATAATTATTATTATTTTAAATTATCAGAGAATAAGAGAAATGGGAATCAGATCCCGTACTCACCCAAGAAAACAGCATCTGCAGTTCGTTTGTATCACCAGCTCCCTGGAACATAAAAATTCGGATTCTTGTTTCAGGTCGATAAAACGTTCTGTTTTTTCTAGTGACTAAATGAACTTCCTGAATTTAATTCGGAGATTTAACACAGTCACGTTAATTACTGCCAGTGCCAGTTGAATTCAATTCAATTCACATTCCCAGAAGAAATAATAAGATTAAATTCTCCTTCATATTCCAAAATTTGAGCACCCAAATGTAGGTCCATTTATCTCTTCAGTACTTTACCGAAATATGTGTTAAACCTTCGCAAAATTCTTGATTAAACAACCTAACCTAACCTAACCTAACCCAACCTAACCTAACCTAACCCAACCTAACCTAACCTAACCCAACCTAACCTAACCTAACCCAACCTAACCTAACCTAACCCAACCTAACCTAACCTAACCCAACCTAACCTAACCTAACCTAATTGAAAAATTATTTGAAGCAAATACGGAGTTCGTAGTTGGTATCCCCCCCACTTAAGCACACAAAAATGTTTCGTCTGTTTCACCAAAAAAACTAAAGGCCAAGTAAATCTGATTCAGATCAGTTTTATCTACTGTTTTGTATAGATGCAAGAATGCGATTCTTAATTTCGAGAAATGAGACAAAAGTGTGTTTAAGTCAGGTGAGAAGAACAACATAGTTCATGGCACATCAGACTCAGATGTAAAAGGGAAAATACGGCATATTTAAACCAAACGGAATAAGATTTTCTGTAGACGCTATAATACATCGATCTACGCAAAACATTTTCCAGATGATGGAAATGAAATACAAAATCATGAGGATATAAAGTAATTTATATTTGATATCGGGACCGCGAAGCAATGTAATTTGTAAGAAGTTACGAACGTTTTAAGTAATGTAACGGCTGCATCATCACTTTGGCCCTGAAGACGGAAACAAAATGTTCCACCGAAACGTTGATAATCGCCTTTAAGACGACGCGGCGTCTTAACCCATAATCACAATCCAGTGAAAATTCTAAAATTATTTAAAATAATTAAGAGTAGGAATTCGGCACATGTCCATATATGAAAACTGTAAGGTACATCCGGGCTTTATTACAGCAAGGAATATTTTAAAGAGGTTATTAATTTAAAACCCATAAAAAGATCATGAATTTTTCGGTCCCTACTTTCGCTTATTTCCTTGTTAACTTTCCTTATTTACGTAATTAGCTGAAACAGATTATTGATTGTTTGGTTATATAATTTAGTTAAGTCTAACCTTTTAAAAACTACCGGTTATAATGCTTACCACCTGTTTTAACATTCACTGAATCTGCATTTTAGTCCTACAACGCATTCATTTGTTTTCCTATGATTTTCATAATAAACAAAAGTTATTTCCCTAAGCAACATTGGTCTGTGTAATCTATAAGTAAGTATTCTGTTTGCTCCGAGATCGAAGGTGAATTTCACATAATATTTATGTGATATTTGGCTTCAGAGTATTAATTAGTAATTTTCTCAGTTAGGTAGCTCACAACTGCTTAAGTACAAAGTAAACAGAACATATTTTTCTTGCTATCTCTTCACCTGCTTAATTTTACGTGTGTTTTCTCAGTGACTTAATCTCACAGTTTCACGGAATTTCACTCCAATCATCGTTCAACTTCAATCTACTCATAAGATAGTGTAGTTGCGTCATATTGTGATTTATTAAATTAAAATTAAATTATTTGGTTATTCCGTCATATCACAATGTATTTAAAATAAGATAATTAAAATATCATTCTGTGTTCCATATCGAATAATCGATTTACAGTTGGAATTCGATATGGAACACAGAATGATATTTTAATTATCTTATTTTAAATACATTGTGATTTGACGGAATAACCAAATAATTTAATTTTAATTCAATCTACTCGCAATTCATTAAATTTAACGTTAAATATCTTCAGTTTACTTACATATTTAAGTTATTTGCACAGCTGTTAATAAAATTAGAGAGATGAACGCAGCGATATAAAAAGAAGAGAAATCTTGATTTCAACTCAGATACCAACAGCCATAAGGCGAAACAACATTCTCATTCTACTACAGTGCAAAGATATTTGTGGAGGTTAGAATACCTCAAAGCTGCAGAATGTGATACTTAAGTCTATTATGATGCGTATGGTCGGCGGTAAATCTTTGAATTCCACGTGATTTCACATCCTACACCAGTAACATATAGTTCTGTGTTGTGGTGTACGGGGAGATTATGTTTCGAGGGGGAGGGGTTGACGTGTTAGAGGTGTTAAAAACGACTGTGTGATGTATCGGACCCTTTGACCCTAAAACTGGTTGTCAGCATAACTCAAGCCACGCGGCGAGTAATAAATTATTACATTATCATTCACACACTCTTATGATGAGTCCCGAGGAACAGCCAGTGGTAATCAGAGGCCGGCTTACAGAAATAAACCAAGAACACAACAATTTCTGACGTGTGACGAGAATATAAAAAAAACATTTATTTTTTCCGCTCTGAGTAAGATCTCAACGTTCACATGTTTATGTTCTCTGGTTCCTACAGTCAAATAAAAAATGAATTCACTTCCAATTTAAGTTCTGTGAGACGCAAATGATTCTCTGAGAACCAAAGATGAAAGATACAAAATATATTTTTTTCCTCAGTCACTACTGCGTTTTAAATTTTAGTAAAAGACTTTCACATTTGATTTGAGGTTTTTAACGGCGATGTCCCTGTTGAAGAAGGCAGCAAGGACGTCTGAAACGTCGGTAGACGTCTACCAGACTAAACGGAGCTACTACCCAGAAGACAGTCATGTTACATGCCACGTGGGAACCTTAGATTCAAAGGAGCATTTCTGTTAGTGATGTGCAACTTTTGTATTAAAATATATAATATAATTCAGGTCTATACACAAACTTTATTTACAGATGTTAAAATTTAAAATTTGCGCTATTCATCGTTACTACGATGTTACAATACTGCGCCTTCATTTGTAGTAATGAAGGCGCAGTATTGTAACATCGTAGTAACGATGAATAGCGCAAATTTTAAATTTTAAATTTTATCATCTGTAAATAAAGTTTGTGTATAGACCTGAATTATATTATATATTTTAATTATAAAACACAAACATGACGCATTTAAACTTTAAACTTTTGTATTGTTACCAATCGTTTAAAAATTAAGGAAATTATTATTACGTTATTGTTCTTGTAAGAAATTAATCGTCCAATTATACGCCTAATTTCATTTCGACGGATTTAATCGTCATGAAAACATGACGACGTGATGAGGAGCTCGATCGCATATCACGTGCAACAGACACGAAGACACAACCACTCTTTTTTCCCAACGCCCTGTGGTTTTTTATTTGTTCTGAAGCAATAATGATGAAAAAGATTAGATCTCTCCAAGCACCTTATAACAGAATTAAGTTAATTTTCTCGATAAAGTCATTAAACAGGCAGGCAAGAACAAAGCATAGAGAAACGATGTGTACTGACCGCAAGGATTGTTTTTCCATGACAAACCACAAACTACTCCGAAACAAATGACGAAGGTCGCCCGTCAAATAATCAATTACGTCTGCCAAAAGCTATTTCTCTCAATAATATGGACTTTTTGTTATACGAGTCTACCTGGAATCACCTACAAGAACAGGGTGTTTTATGTTCTCCTTTATGTCTCAGAAACCGACATTTTAAAGAACTTCTTTGGTAGTAACTGAATAAAATATAGAGACAATTATCCGTAGTAAATGTGGGAAGCACAGGCCCCGATAATCTAAAATTACGGTTAATTAAAATTATAATTTATTATAATTATCATTACCTATGTAAGCAAATCTTTCACGGTTGTATTAGAATTTTATAATGTGGTCAAATGTTAGGATCTTTTAATTTGTATCGTAAGTAAATTAATAAATTAATAAATTAAACTCGAAGATTATGTAATTAACAGATTCTGCAGATGGTCAACTCTTGGGTTGTGGCGCCTACCAGAATGGTGAAAGTACTTTTATCTGAACGATGATGATGGAGGCAGCAAATACTTCTGAAACGTCCACCAGACTACAATACTCTACAACCCAAAAGACAGCTACATCCATACTCTCAGTCATAAAAACCTCAAATCCTACTAAAAATTCTTGTGTCCTCTTTCAGATAAAAACTCAATTTGTAGGCCTAATTATTATTATTATTTAGACGAGCTTCGACTTCAAAGTGTTAATAAGTGTATTTATGTTCTATACAAGTCCAATAGTTTTCGCTGCTTTTATGGGCCTAAGGCTAACCTTTGTATGGAAAAACTTTTAAATCATTAAGACCATTTTTAGGTGTCACGAATATTCCTCAAACAAATAAATAAAATATTTACTGAAGAATTAATCGCAACATCATTTTAGCTCACAGACATACATGTAAAACATCTTATTAATTCGACCTTCGCTAAAATATATTTACTAAAGTACAGATAGAATTCTTTGTTTATCCAGCAAAGGTAATAGAGGTCTATCTCAAGTTTCTCAAATTATAGGGCTCTAAAGATAACAAGAACAAGTTGTTCAGGATTCTCCTTGTTTTACAAGTTATGGAACACCCTATTAAATGCGGTCGTACATTTCTTGTAGAAACCCCAATAGCAGGTACGAAACTCGCTCTTATTAATTAAGGAGATTGGCGCCGCGGGACGGAGGACATCTTGGCCCTAATAACAGATGAGGTTTTAAGAGCCGAAACAAATTCTAAAACAGCACATGTAACGTCGGACAGGTTATGAAATTCACAAACAAGACTTGAAAGAGTCTTTATTTTGAAGCTCACACACCAGCCTTTTAATAGGTTTTTTCGCACGAACAAAGGATGACAAAGCGTCATTACGAAAAATGTCCTCGAAATTGATAGTACATGCTTTTAATCACAGAGTGTTCTGATATCTGCGGTCTTCTGTGTTGTTAAACCGCGAATTCTTTTACGTGTATGCGATTTATTTATTAAGAATTTTGGTCATCACCTCAGAGTCTACACAGA